TTAGTAGTGAAGATGGTGAGACTTCATGTCACTTATGTTGGTCATGTTATTAGAAGGGACCAGTCCTTGGAGAAAGATATTGTGCTTGGTAAAGTGGAGGGTCAATGAAAAAGGGGCAGGCCCTCAATGAGATAGATTGACATGGTGGCTACAATGACGGGCTCAGGTGTGGCAAGTATTGTGAGGCTGGCACAGGACTGGGCAGTGTTTAGTTCTGTTGTACATAGGCTGCTGTGAGTTGGGGCTGACTCAACTGCACCTAACAACAACATGGTCTACATTAAAAGTTCAAATGATTTAAAATAAAAAAACAAACCCACTGTCAATTCCAACTCATGGTGACCCTATAAGACAGAGAACCACCCCATAGTGTTTCCAAGGTTATAAACTTTTGTGTAAGCTGTGTGCCTCCATGTGCCCAGACCTCCTTCATTTACCTTTATCCTAATTTTCCATAATCATCCCATAAACTTTCAGAATTACTTTTTAGGAGAATTCTCTAGTATTGAATTCAAGGCATTTCCCAATCTAAGCACTGTATTACTTTTCAGCCTTATATCTCACTATTTTCTTAATATTCTATCAATCTGCCATTTTTTATTCCTTAAATGTGCTCTTTTAAATTTCAGAAATTGTTAAATCCAAAATGTGCTCTTTTAAATTTCAGAAATTGTTAAATCCAAATTTTAGAAATATAACATCTCAATGACTTTATTTTTGTGTGTGCCTATATCCCCAGCTCTTAAAAAAGTGCCTATGATATAGAGGAAGTGTTGAAAAGACACTTCGTGAATCAATGAAAAACAGGAAATTATTTCATTTGCCAGAAATCTATTTTCATATCAGTGATGGCTTATTTATTTTGTTTGTTTCTTTGTGTCTTAAAGTATAATTGTATACCTAGGAGCTCTGGTGGCATAGTGCCTAAGGCATTTGACTGTTAACAAGAAGGCTGGTGATTCAAACCTACCAGCCACTCCTTGGAAGGAAGTTGGGCAATCTATTTTCGTAGGGATACTGCCTTGGAAACCCAAGGATGGGTCGCTATGTACTACTCATTTTAATTTCTTTATTAGCTTATACAGGTTTGGGGAATAGGAACTGACTGTATTTTGCCCATCAAACTTTCCTTTTTTATTTTTCCCCCTTGTCTATCAAGGTGTCTTGCTTTGAATATGCAATTTGTTGAATATGTGTAAGAAGAAAGATGGGAAAACAGGAGAAGGAAGAATAAAGGAAGTAATGGGACAAGAATTGGAAATGTTTCCTGGAAAATTACAACCTGTCAAAAGGCTATCTTCCAGTTATTTTCTTGAGAGACCCTTTGACATCTTTGTTCCTCAGACTATAAATGATGGGGTTCAGCATGGGAGTCACTGATGAGTAGAATACAGATATCACTTTATCCCTTTCACTCATTTCCTTGGAGTTTGGCCTCATGTAGGCAAAGATTGCTGAGCCATAGAAGAGAACAACAACGGTAAGATGGGAGCCACAGGTTGAGAAAACCTTGAGCCTCCCTTCTCCTGACTGCATCTGGATCACAGTGGAGATAATATTCCAGTAGGAGACAAGAATGAGGGAGACAGGAGCTAGGAGAATCACCACACCCATTGCAAAGATGGCCATTTCTGTGCTGTAGGTGTCTGCTGAAGCCAGCTTCAGTAGGGCAGGAGGTTCACAAAAAAAGTGGTTAATGATATTGTCTCCCCTGTAGGGCAGACGCAATGTGAATGTGGTGTCCACCAGAGACACGAATGCCCCACTGGCCCAAGACCCTATGGCCAGCTGGACACAGACCCAATGTGTCATGATGGTGGAATAGTGCAGGGGCTTACAGACAGCCACATAGCGGTCATAGGACATCACTGCCAGGAGTGCACATTCTGTGCACCCAACCAGAAGCACAACGACTATCTGCATTGAGCATCCAGCAAAGGAAATGGTTTTCCTCTTTACCAGGAAGTGGACTAGCACCTGTGGGACCGTGGTAGTAGAAAAGCAGAGATCAGCAAAGGACAAGTTTCTCAGGAAGAAGTACATGGGCGTGTGGAGTCTGGTGTCTACGTGAATAAGCACAACGATGAGCAGGTTTCCCAGCACAGTCAGCAGGTAAATGACCAGAAACAGGAAGAAGAGCAGGACTTGTGTCTGAGGATCCTGCGAAAGGCCCAGGAAGACAAATTCAGTCACATACGTTTGGTTTTCTTCTCCCATGAATGATTTATTTCTGCTTAAAGGCAGCACCAAGGAGAGAAACACATATTCTTCAGTTAATAAAAAAATGTAAGAAACTTAGGTATTTTATCAACCAGTATCCAAAACTGCACTATTGATTTCCACTTCTTAACAACTTCCATATATCAAAAAATTGAGTTTTGTTTTTGGTCAGTAGTACTGATCACTGAAAACCACTTCTGATTTTCCCAGCCCTTGAATCTTTTAGTAGTATCAGCCTGGGAATCATTATCCTTAATAAGCCTAATGACCAAACCTCAGTTGGAGTATTAACGGTTTGTAGTCTTGAGACTGTGGAGCTGCTGATAATGAATTCATCCTATTATTTAGGTTTGAGAAGTGGATGAATTGATGCTGCTCTAACACTGTTAGATTATTATGCTGCAAACTGAGAATTTTTATGAAAGTTGATTTCCTTCAATGTATTTACAAAATAATTCTAAAGAAGCATCCAAAGCAAGGAATTGGAAATTAAGATAAAGCAAAATGTAGTAGTAGAAGAATCACCTCACCTTTGCCCATGTCTTTCTGTCATTTATTTTCAGGATGTGGGTGCTGAGCACCATCAGCAAAAACAGCTGCCTCACTGTTAGTGAACTCAGTAATGGAGCTTCTGTTTCCTCATCTGCATTCTTTTATCTGTCTTTGCACAGGATCTTTTGGTAATAATAATGTCAATTACTGTCTCTTGGAAGCCCTCCTGATGCCAGTCATTATTAATAGCCTCTTTATATGCATCGTTCTAAAATCTCTTTAAGCTCATATGAAAACAAAACAAAACAAAACAAAACAAAAACCCGAGGTAGATAAAAAATCAAAGAGAGCCAATTTAAGCCTATGATAACATGAAAGAAATGTGCTCAACAGAGATGATGAAACAAAGGCTCAGATAAATGCTAAAGCTAGTTCCTCTAAGCCTTCTTCATTCTCTCTGTATTCTGGAATTTTTTTCTTGTTTCCTCCAAATCTTCAAAAAACAAGAGGTTAAACTTTAACCTAACTCTTTCTTCCTATTCCGTAACATCCACTCTTTGAAGACAAGTCCACAAGTCTTTTTAGTTTTAAGAATTTTAGGGTTAATCTATTCTGGCAGATACATCAGCAGACACAAAAGTAACAGTCTGACATATATTAACAGTTAGTTTTTAAAATTTATGTGTGCCTTGCCCAAATTACAATAGAAAGAAAGTAACAAATATTAATAAAGGAACAAATATTATTAGCAGACCTTTTGGTTGCAATCTGAAAAAAATCAAAGGGAGCCAATTTAAGCCTATGATAACTTTAAGCCTATGAAAGAAATTGCTCAACACAAGATAAGTAATTGAACATTTTTGTGTTATATACCAAAAATAATCAAAGATAAATTTTACTTAAAAAAAGAAAAAAGTTCTTCACGTAATAATGGTTAAACTAAACAAGGTGTACACTTAAAAATATTTAAGACCTGTTTCAAGGAAACTATGAAACATGATGTCTGAATAAATGAATAAACACTAATTTTGTCAAAAGGACAACTCAGTCTTATAAAGATGCTAATTTCTCTCAGATTAATCCATAAATTCACAGTGATTCCAACCAAGTATGCAAAGAATTTTTGTAAGGGAATTTAACAAGCTTATTTAAAATTTTATCTATATGAGCAATTGTATGATATCAAATGAGTTTTGGAAACGTAAATGAGAGAGTAGAGGAAACATCCTTCCAGATAGAAAATATATATTTCCCCTTATAAATATAGTATATATTTGAGCAGATATAAAACATTTCAGCAATAAATGTAGAACTGAAACAGATTATAAAACACCAAACTCATGCTGTGGAGTTGGATCCAACTCATAGTATCCCTCCTTGGGTTTCCGAGGCGGTATCTCTACAGAAGTAGATTGCCCAATCTTCCTTCTGAGGAGTGGCTGATGGGTTTAAACCTCCAGCCTTCTAGTTAGCACTTAAATAGTATCTATGAAAGTTTAATATACTATAAAAGTAGCATATTGAATAAATGAGATAATAAAGTACTACTTAACAAAATGTGTGGTACAATTGCTTAATTACTTTAGAAAATTATGTATATCTATGTTATATATGTATGTTGTTGTTGTTGTTATGTGCCGTCAAGTCAGACCTGATCCACAGCGACCCCTCCTTGGGTTTCTGAGGCAGTATCACTACAGAAGCAGATTGCCCCATCTTCCTTCCCAGGAGTGGCTGGTGGATTTGAACCACCAGCCCTCTGGTTAGCAGTCAAGTGCCTTAGGCACTACGCTAACAGAGCTCCTTATATATGTATAAGGACAACTAATAATTAATCCCAAATGCATTGATGATCTAATATTGAAAAAGCATATATGTTTTCTGTGGAATTAGATAATTTATCTCCAAAAAAACCCAAAACCACTGCCATCAAGTTGGTTATGACTCATGGAGACCCCCACTGGGTTACTAAGGCAGTAAATCTCTATGGAAGTAGGTTGCCTGGTCTTCCTTCCATCGAGTGGCTGGTGGGTTTGAACCACCAACCTTCTGGTTAGGCACTGTGCCATCAGAGCTCCTTTGATTATCTATCTATATATAATTCAGTCATAGGGTGGTAAAGATTTCCTAAATGAGTCTCTCCACCTTTCCAAATTAGAAATCATAAAGGAAACCACTTAACAATCTTGACAATTAAAAAAATATCACAATGCATGTAGCGAATACCATTATACAGCAAATAAAAAATATAAATAAGTTTGGGACAATATTTTCAAAATATTTAACAGAGCTTTTTATTACTACTAATATATAATGAGCCATTAAAACCAATAATAGAAGATATACAATGCATTATAGAAATAGACAAAGCATTTAAATACTTATTCACACAAAAAAAGCAAAATTGAACACTAAACTTGAAACAAAAACATGCACATCATAATAACAAATGAGATAACATTTTGCCTTTTAGGTAAAATTTCAAAAGGATATAACAGCCAAGTTTGACGGTGTAGCAAAAATATCTATAAACCAAAATAACCAAACTCACTGCGGTCAAGTTGGATTTGACTCATAGAGACCTCTCCTTGGGTTTCTAAGGTAAGAAGTAGATTGCCCAAATTTGCTTCTGAGGAGTGGCTGGTGGGTTTCAAGCACCAGCCTTTTGTCGTCAGTCAAATGCCTTAGGCACTACACTACCAGAGCTCCCAAAAATCTATAGGTTAAAGGCAAAACAATTCCTTTATTTTATATATATCATTTAATCCTTTATGTGAAGTGTGAATGGTGTATTTGTGATTATCTGTATCTCTGTATTTGTCATATTTCTACAGGAATTTCTCCTACAGTATTAAGACGAAGCCACTGAGCAGAGATTCCAACTCATGGAGATCCCACGTGTTTCAGAATACAGCTTCACTCCACAGGACTTTCAACGGCTGTGAGTTTTCAGAAGCCAATAACCAGGACATTTTTCTGAGCACCTCCAAGTAGATTTGAACTGTCAATTTTTTGGTTAGTAGTCAAGCATTTAACAACTCCTTAAGAAGAAGCAGCATAGCTTATCTTTAAAATGAGGCAATTCATTATACATATTATATAAAATTTAGGGCAGTAAATAAGACTCTGGCTAAGGAGATCATGATCTAGAAGTAACTGCATGATTAGTAAAATAGTTGTTGGGGACAAAGCATAGTCACATGACTGCAAAGTTTCAATGAAGCAGATGATTTCTCTCATTAATTAGCTTTACACTTTGCTCTGTGTCAACTTTAGGTATTAGAACTTTATTGCCAGCAAAACTGCATATCAAGGCCTAATCTGAGAAGGGTAAGTATATGGAATGAAGAAAAAGGCAAGCAAATCATTCTCCCTTTTTTTGAAATTGTTTATTATAGAAATTTTCAAACAAAAGTAGAGAGGCTTGTAAAATAAAACTTACAGTACCTAACAATCAGATTCAAAATGTGTTATTCAGTTTGGATCATTAGTTTATTATAATTTGCTTTTAATAGCAAACTTTAAACTATTTTAAACTCCTTTAATATTAAAAATCTGAGAGAAATTAGCATTGTCCTATGTCTGAAATTAGAACGTAAGCTTCCTCACAATTAAAAGTTTTAAAAATGAAAATCATCATAAGTAAGCATCTTTAAGAAATCTATTGTGGCATAGCAGAGCAGACTGTCTATTTGGTTTGTAGATCCATGAAAAACAATCTATTAATGGTGAATACTCCCGGGAGGCAGCATTTTAGTGGAAACAGGGGTAGTAACTGAGGGGAGAATTTCATTTCTTTTTTTATGCTTATATGTCTTGTTTGATTAATTTTACAATTTAGCCTACATTTTTAGAACAAAAATAAAATATATTATTAAAGATGAAACATGGAGGAACTGAAATGAGGCGATAATTTTACTACCTAATTTTAAGATGTAGTATAAACAGAATAATATGAACTATAACAATGAAAGTAATGGTAGAACATGCAAAAACAAGGACAAATCAGCGCACCAGAATGGAAATAAGAATCAGCAAAGGTCACATAAGAATTCTAAAAAACCAAACCCACTGCCACCTAGTCAATTTCAACTCAGAGTGACCCCCATTGGGTTTCCAAGGTGGTAAATCTTTACCAAAATAGATTGCCTCATCTTTCTTCCATGAAATAGCTGGTGGGTTTTAACTGCCAATCTTCTAGTTAGCAGTCAAATGCCTTAGGCACTGCGCCACCAGAGCTCCTTCACATTGTTGTTGTTGTTATGTGCCCTCGAGTCAGGCCCGACTCATAGTGACCCCTCCTTGGGTTTCCGAGGCAATATCGCTACAGAAGTAGTTTGCCTGATCTTCCTTCCAAGGAGTAGCTGGTGGGTTTGAATCTCCAGCCTTCTGGTCAGCAGTCAAATGCCTTAGGCACTACGCTACTAGAACTCCCATGATAAAGTTAGCATTTCAAATAAGCCACAGAAGCACATTATTCAATAAATGATGCTAGAACAATAGAC